TTCATTCTTTGAACATATATTTCCATATAAGTCAAAAGAGGAAGCAAACTCTTCTAAACGAACACATGAGACTATGGTTAGAAATTGTCTAGACCAAGAGATAGAAGAGGATGTTGAAATTGAACCAAGACGTAGCGAAATAGAAAGGACAGAAAAATCTTATGGTCTTGATTTTCTGACATATATGTTAGAAAGTGAACCTCAAAACTACCAAAAAGCTATAAACTCTTCAGAAGGATCTCAATGGAAAGAACAGGGGCAGACCCATTAAGGGTCCAGTGCGGGCAATTGCCCCCACTGGATTTCTAGAATTTTTTGGATTTTTTACTTGCCCATATTCTTAGCCCAAAACCCAATAAAGCCTTGCATTACATACTAGTCCAAACCCCACTGGACCTCTAGAATTTTTGGATTTTTTACTAGCCCATACTTTTTAGCCCAAAACCTAACAAACTCCTGACATTACATACCAGTCCAAACCCTTCCCCCTTCCTCCAATTGTTCCTGCGAGGGGGGGTGTGATTCCCCAGTTCATTCAAACCCTTGTGATTCCATTTAATCTCAAACCTTTGTGATTCTAATTGCATATTTTGAAAGAAGAATAATAGATTGAAGGAGCAAAATTTCATAATCTCTCTCCTTCTTAATCTTATTATTTATGCTTTGATAGTTATTTTGTTCTTGGATTGTAAAACCTCTCATCAAATCCCCAATGTGACGATCTCGAAAATTCACCTTTTTATCTGAAAAATTGTTTTCTGCCTTTAGGTAAAGCTGAGAAGTAGGAGTAGAATATCTATGTTTTAAGATGTAAAATATAACAGATTGTTCATTGTATTATTTGTATGTGAATCGACTTTTACACTTATTTTAACCCTCTATTCTTATTAAGGACAGTAATCATACCTTTTAAATTAGCTAATGATTTAAACTTATTTTAACTTCTCTGTTATTTTGTGCAATAAATTGTGATTCTAAGATTTGTACCTACAGGGGTGTGTGTATATAGTTG